CCAGGCTGGTCTCAAACTCCTGACCTCATGATCCACCCGCGTCGGCCTCCCAAAGTGCTGGGATTACAGGCGTGAGCCACCGTGCCTGGCCTAATTTTTGTATTTTTAGTAGAGATGGGGTTTCACCAAGTTGGCCAAGCTGGCCTCGAACTCCTGACCTCAAGTGATCCACCCACCTTGGCCTCCCAAAGTGCTGGGATTACAGGCATGAGCCACCGCGCCCAGCCGATGGAACAGATTTATGAACCTCTAACTACTATATCGCTGGCACGCGCCCATGTTTAAACACGACAAATGTTCAGCTGGGGTACGTTCCGCAGCTTAATTGTTGTTATATACCCTGATAAATAAGCTAAAAATGTGAGAAAACAAAATTAGTTTAGAAAAACTGATTTAGCCCTCGGCTTCATCGTTTAACTTTTTATGGTTACCATGACAACCAGGGGTCCATTTATTAAGTCACAGCGTCCCCTGTGTAATGCCATCGCACAGGCAGCGCAGGGGGGGCCGCCAGCCATGGACTTACCTTAAAGTCATCCGGGAGCAGCAGCTTGGACGTCCGCAGGAAGCTCAGGACGTAGCGGAAAATCTCCCCATCCCGGTCAATGAAATAATGTTGCTTCAAACTGTCCAGGACGATGGGTTCAGTGCCATTGAAGAGGCGGCTTATTCTAGGAGAGACAGGTGAGGTGGGATGTCTGAAGGATGGGGCCAAGTCCACCTGTCTTCCCACGCCCTGCCCCCACACAGCTTAGGGCCCACACAGCTGGAGGGGCGAGGGACCTGACATGGGTGACTCTGGAACTGTTCCAGGCCTGGCAATGTCTGCACACATGCGGGGCAGCCAGGCTACAGTTGACAGGACACACCACACATCCTGCCTACACCTGCAAGTCACAGCCAGAGAGGGACGCACCCAGCTGTACACACCAGCCCGCCAACACATGTTATGTTACAGGCCTGGAAAGCTATGGCAAGACACAGGCACCTTATCCCCTACGCACAAACCAGCTGGTCACAGGCCTGATGCACACACCCTGCCAGACAGATCCATCCAGAAAATGCACATGAACCATCCAACACCCCTGCCAACAGCTACACACCCAGTAAACCAACCAGCACATACATCCTCCCCGCCCAACCCATGTAAACGAGTGTGACACACAACAGGCCTGTGCAACAGGCACGGGGTCACACGGTCCCTTCCTTCCCAACACACACATATCACACGGACCCAGACACATCCAGGAAAAGACACGCACCTGTCAATACCAGGTACCCAGAGACATGACGGCACAAATGCCCCACTGCCGCTCACTCAGGGAGCCCACGGGGAGAAGAGGCAGACGGGAGGGATGGCAAGTGTGCCACGGTACACACATGCAACAGGGCCCTTGCATACATGCCACAACACAGACATACACACACACCAGTATGTACACACACAGAAACCATGCACACACATGCGCCACAGTGCATACATATGTGCACACATGCCGGAGTGTACGCATACCACACCTAGTGGTGGGGGATGGGGACTGGAGAGAAGGCAGGTGCCGGTACCCTGTCCTCTGAAGGGCAGTGGTTCTAACAAATGCAAGACCGGGAGAAGGGTCTTGGGGAGCCCCTGATGCCTGTCCCTGTCCACTCCAGGGAGAAGGAGCCAGGTCTCAGAGCCAGGACTGATACCACCTCCCCAGTGCCCAGAGCGGCCAGCTCGGGTTTGGAAACTGCCCTGGCAGAACCCAGGTCGAGCTATGGATAACTAGGAACCCTAAAGAGGGGTGGGGATAGCCAAGGGCTTGGCTTGGTGTTCGAACAGGAGGGAGGTTGGCATCGTTTCCCCAAAGGCAGCACCACCACATCCTTCAGCAGGCAGGGCCACACTCCTGCCCAGCTGGACCCTGCCAAGGTGGCAGCTTCTCTGCACAGCTGGGAGAACAGTAGCTCCAGCTTGGGACCCAGGCTTCCCAGCCTGGCCTGCACACAAGCTGGAGCCTAAACCCTTCACTCTCTGCCTGCACCAGCAGGGACCCCTGCAGGGATGCCCCCTGTCCCAACAGCAGCCCATTCCTCTGTCCACTCCAAGTCAGCTGCCTCCAGGGTCCTGCCCCACTGCCACCTGCACCCAGGACACACTAGCTGGGCAGGAGCTGAGGGGGTTAGAGCGCCCAAGTCTGCCCTCAGGGCCTCCCGTCCACACCATCCTATGCGCTGATGGCCTGGCACACTCAATGCATCAGCCATGATGGTCTGTCCAGGTATGGAGTCTCTGGAAACACAGTGCAGATTTCTGTCCTAACAGGGTAGTATAAAGGACACGGTTTAGCTGGGCACCGTGGCTCACACCTGTAATCCCAGCACTTTGGGAAACTGAGGTGGAGGATTGCTTGAGGCCAGGGGTTCGAGACCAGCCTGGACAACACAGCAAGACCCCATCTCTACAAACAATTTAAAAGTTAGCTGGGTATGGTGGCATGCACTTGTAGCCCGCTTGGGAGGATGAGGTGGGAGGATCACTTGAGTCCAGGAGTTTGAGGTTGCGATGAGCCGGGATCACACCACGTACTCCAGCCTGACCAAGAAAGCCAAACGCTGTTGTTTAAAAGAAAGAAAGAAAGAAAAGGGCAAGGCTGTCTCATGGATGGGCATGGGGAGGTCAGAGTCTGCTGTGAGCCCAAGTCTGCGGAACCAGAGCTGCAGCCACCCAGATACAATTCATCTCAGAGCTGTAAAAGCCGAAGAGCCCTGTCAACCCCCTAGGCCTGGTGACAATGGCACTGCAGGTCACAGCCCCTGCTGGAAAGGCTTGTGGGCTCCACAGCTGGCTCCAGTTACAAAGGCCCTAGGACCTGGCCTAGAAGAGCGTGGGCATCCAGATGTCAGAGTGAGGGCCACCCGGCATTCCTGGAGACAGATGAGTCTGGCCCAGGCTGCCAGATACCATGGGCAGTGGTTGGCAAGTGGCTGAGGGCCACGTGTGGCACCGGTAGGAAGTAAGAGCTACATCCACAGGGGAGTCAGCAGATCCAAACCCTCGGCCTCTCTGGGAACTCTCCCCACCATTCCCAGTGGAGCGCCAAAGTACATGTAAGCAGGCAGCATTCTAGGCCTGGCTGAGTTCCCGACCCTTCTGACGTCAGGTCTGGCTGAGGCTCTAGCTGGTCCTGTTGGTCTAGAAGACTCCTGATGCACCCACATTCCAGGGCTGGATGGGTTCTAGGTTGTCTCATTGGTCCAAGTTTAGAAGGTTCTCCATCTGCCTTATTTCAGGACAGGCTGATTCTAGATCTTTCCATGGCTCAGTGTCGACTCCTGGATCAACCGGCAGCTGTACAGCCTCTCCCAGGACAGAGGCCTTTCATGCCCTCGGCGTCCAAGGCTGCCAAGGACGTGAGCAGGTTGAGGAAAGGTGAGGATAATCACCATGGAGGAGCCCCCAGCCATTCTCAGCCCTGCAGGTGTGAGTTCCCAGCTCTGTCAGGGGCTCCACGTTCCCCGTGGAAAACGGCCCAGGTCACCCTCTGAGAGAGGCTGCAGGGTTTGAGGCGCCGGCTTCCGAAGTCCTCCATGGAATTAGGTGACCAGTTCACGCTGCAACAACTGGGACCCTCAGGGGCAGAAAAGATGCCTCCAACCACCCGCCCTGTGTGCACAAGGGGGAAACATCAGGATGGCCTTCGTCTTCTTGTTTATTTCCTTTTTTTTTTTTTTTTAAGCTCTGGCTCCAATTTCCTGGCTGTTTCAGGCAGCAGGTTTTAAGAGTTCTGAAGCTCCTGGCCATCTTCATTTGATGCTTCCCACAGTCAGGATGGATGTCAGAGTGTGGCTGTGCTGGCGGCATCTAATGGGTGTCAAGCAGGCAGGACACCAGCAAGGGGGCCGGCCCAGGGAGTCCACTCCCAGCCCCAGCTGCGCTCAGCTGTCTCAGGTGAGGACCAGTGACTGTTCCTAGGCAGACCAGACAAGGCACCCAGCACGAGGCTCTTCAGCACCCAGGCCACCCCGACCACCGAGACCCAGAAGCCCAGGCAGAGTTCCCGGTGGGAACTGAGGGTGGAGGTCCCAGCTTTTACAGTGCTGCCTAGGGCAGGTCATCACCACCATCCAGAAACACCCTGAGGACCTTGGCACTCTTAGTCCTCCATCTCCAGGTGTCTCATAGATCAGTGACACTAGGTGAGATTGATTTTTTTTCCAGAATTGGTGGCAAACAGTGCTTGTATTATAATAATTCACTACAAGAAGGACAAGAGAGATCTGAGGGGCTCTTGCCAGCACAGCTGCTTGACCCACTTCTCAGGCCCCCCGGCCCCCTGGCCCCTGATTGTCCTACAGGTCACACCATCCCTGGTCTCTAGTCCAAAGCTTCAGGCCTGCAGAGCGCCCCCACGGCAGCCAGAGGCCATCCAGGCAGAACAACAGATTCACCTTGAGCCCCAGCCATGGGGAAGAACAAACATAGACTGCCACCCCTTGGGCACACCAGGAGGGTCCCAAGTGCCAGATCACAGGGCCACAGGGGCCCTAGCTCCCCATGAGAGCACACCCTACACCGCAGAACAGAGCAATGGGTGAGCAGCACAGTGCGGCTGGGTGAGGGGAGATGGCCCCCTGCCCTCCGGCTCTCAGGCAGCAGCCAAGAGCCCAGCATGAGAAGCCCCTCCCACCCGCCTCCCCCAGGGCCTGGGCTGTGATTACTCCAGACAGGCAACTCTGGTTTCAGGAAACACTCTTCAGAGAGGGTTGTGGGCAAAGGTTTTATGAATTTCACAAATGTCGTCAACCGATTAAGGGATGATCTATCTCAAACAACTCGGAAATGCCGCAGAAGGCAAAATGGAAATTAAATAAGCAGAATCCATCTCCCATCCTAGACAGGGCTCTGTGAGTGAGCACACAGGCCGATACTGCTCACCTGGCCCCGTGGCTCTTGTCCCCACCCCACAAACCCCAAGGCCACAGGACCCCAGGCTGAGTCTCTGTCCACCCGGGGTACTGGAACACCAGCCACCATCTGCACCCTAGACTCTCTGAATTTGGAACTAGACACTGCATCCATTTCCAGTTTTTCTTCCTCAAGGGACCACGCCAGCCCCTGCACGGACTCCCCTGCAGCCCCAACAGGCTCGGAAAGCCACCGCCACGTACTACCATCCTCCCTGCTCTGAGCCACCACACCAGTGACAATGCAGCCTGCCACGTATGCTCCCCAGAGATGATCCCTCAGTGTCTGGGGGATTAATTAACTCCTCCTGTTATTTTAAATGCGTAACACAGGGGTGATGCCCGCAGCCTTGGCCCTCCCACGCTCAGCCTTCAGCAGCCCCGGGGGAGCAGTGACCGCCTCTCTGTGCCAGGAGCAAACATCCTCGGCTGAGCAAGCTGCTCAGAGACCCACCCCACCTCGGGTCAGTCCTGCTACCGTGCCAACGGGGAAAGCAGGTCCCTCACCCAGGAGAGAAACGCCCTGCAGGGAAGAGCAGGAGAGCTGGCAGCACCCAGCACCCCGTACCTCTCGCAGGCCAAGGGCCTAGGCAGCCTGTAAGTTCAGCAGCATGGAGGGTACCTGTGAGCCCCCAACCAGAGTCCTGGCCTGAGATCCTTTATCCATTGCTGAGGTATGTGGTTGATTCCTAGTTAGTCACTGCAACACCAGCTCCAAGGAAAGCCTGCTGCTAGCCTCTAGGGCCCAGCAGTGGCCACCGAAAATGACAAAGATGACACACTGCTGCTTATCGCAGCTCCTCCTCCCCCCGCTTGTGAATTTCGCAGGGGTGGAATAGGAAATAGGATTAAATACCCACCCCCATAACCCCAAGACTTACCTACTCAGTATCACTCACAAATGACCCCCTGCAGAGGCCAGGCCTAAGTCTTCCGCCAGAGGAACCTTGAAGGTACGTGAGACTACCCAGCCCGCTGCTGGCAGGCTCAGGCACGGCTGGCTCTGAATAAGCCCTAGGCCCCTGCAGGTGGGTCAGGAGGTGCACCTTGCACTACCAATGCTGCCAAGTCAGGGTCACAAGCCTCTGTGCACAGCAGCTTTCAACAGGCAGATTCACACTCCCCAACCCTAGCTCCCTCAGGCTGTGTCAGCTTGTGCACCCTGGAGAGCCTGGTGGGTGGAGTGACAGGGGGGAGAGACCCCATCCCCCAGGCAGCAGATTACAGCTGCTGCCCTGACCCACACATGCCTGATGTTTCAAGGGGCTTACTCTTACCTGGAGTCAGGGTACTTGGTGAGCGTGGCCAGGCTGCTGGTGTACATGTGGCCGCCCACATCGATGTGCACAGGTGCATTGGACTTGGTGAGCTGGGCTGGCAGGGGGATGCCCTGGGCCGCCAGGGGAGACACAGGCGACCGGGTGAGAGACAGCCGGGACATGTTTCCTCCCTCCTAGAGATGAAAATAAAGCGGAACACAAGAGTTTCTCCACAACATGGCCATGCACTCCCTTTATTGCGAGTGTGATCACAGATCTAATCAGATCACTTCTGCCGGTGCCTGATCACATATTCAGCTGACAAATTATGGCCACCACTGTAATTAAGTGTATTTGCATCATTTTCTTCAAAGTACCAGAGGGAAAAAGAAAGATGCTTATTAGCAATAAGAAACCAAGAAAAAAAATTTTTCAAGGTGTCAGCCTCCAGGGGCATAAAACAAACTGCAAAATTCTAATTAAAGGTCATGGGCTTATGTGTTAGATGTGAAATATCCCCTGACAAACGAATCACCAATTTGTGAATTGGGATTCAGGGGTTTTTTGCAAGTTTGTCTCAGTAACGAGACACCTCTAAATTAGTGACTTCCTCAGCACCTAAGGCGTTGAGTTTTATACATGTAGTAAATTTCACATCAAATTAAGAGCATTTTTGTTTCAAAAATACATAATCCTACAGCCAGTCAACAGCCACCTTGAGTGTCATGGCCCCAAGGAAGGGCAGCCAGTGAACAGGTGCTGGGGAAGAAGGGAAAGAGGGGACCCCTGGTGGGGACCCAGCCCACCCTGCAGGCTCACCGCGGTGCCGGTGCTGCCGTGTGTGTGAAGCGAGGACCCGCTCGGCCGCTCCTTGCGGTGAGGCATCTAGGCTTCCATCCCTGCCCAGAGTATCTGCGGGAGGCATCGACGAAACCAGAGAAGGCTTATTCCTCATAGTCATCTACCATGGAGTCAAAGACACTTAGAATCGTTCTTTCTGCATGCTCTCTGAGACCCCGCGAGGTCCATGCAGCCCTCCCTGATTGACTCCACCACCACTCTCTCTCTATCTGTCTCCACACCCCGAAGCAGGCCTCCAGGCTGTAGCAGATGACACACATACACATGCACACACACACAGTCACCCTCACACATGTGTTTTCTGGGCAGCTCCATGTCTGCTAATTCGGCTAATGACAGCACTGAAACATATGCTCACCATTATTGCCCCAAAATGTTTCAGAACAAATCAGATTTTCCTGGTATTTTTGTTTCAAGCCATGTTACCAAGCGTGTCTCCTCTTGCAAAAGCCTCGTGGACCAAGGCTCAGAAAGCACCCCTCACCCTTCATGGGCCGGGGAACCTAGGACCTCTCTTAGTACCATCCCCATGGTGATAAGATACAGCTTGCATCTGGCCAGACACAGGGAAGCCTTTATGCAGAAGTCCAAGCACACGGATAAGGGCAAGTCACCTGGGAAGCCACCTCTTCTCTGTGGCTCCCAATAGCAGAGAAAACCTGTCTTTGTTTGCCTAGTCTGCACCTCACAGTTTCTCCCCAGACTCCCAGAGTGGCATTGCCTATGCCTAATGCATTCCAGACCCCTCACCATCACATACCCCTGAGGCATCAGGAGATGGCCAGGAGGAAGCAGAGAGCAAGCAGATCAACCAATGGACCCTTTCTACTGCTCCTCCCCAGAGGCACTCAGTGACTCTCCTCTGTGCTGTAGCCACCTGAAATAAGATTGTCCCTCAGTCCCCGGAAGCCACACCCAGGGGCGCTTTGCGGGCCCTATGCAGGAGGAACAGAATTCTGCAGCCCCGTTCACTGATTTACAGCTGTCTCAAAAGGGAGGAAGGAGGAGATTTGCACGTGAATAGTCAACCCCCTTCACACATCCACAGACACTGGCTTCCACAAACCTACCCTGGACGACTCTTGAAGGTTTAATCTTTAAGAGAGCAACCACATGACATTCTTGGGACCCATGGGATTGCTTTTGCCCATTAAAACTCTGGGATCAAAATCTGTGCCTTGAAATTCAACATCCAATTTTAATCCAATGAGAATCAAATCCTGCAAACGTAAGCAAGATTGCTCTCCTGTGACTTATTCTGCCCTGAGTGCCCGGGGAAGCTTCCTGACATAGAACTGGGGTGGGAGGTTGCAATGGGCAGACAGTGATGTGTAATGTATACCCTCACTGGGGCCTGTGGGCTCAGGGTCCACTGCTTTTGGCATTCCTGAGTTCCAGAAGCTTAAAAAAACAAAACCAGGTCACTTAGCTCAAGGAGTTCTGAGAACCAAAACAGACCTCAGGAATGGATTATCCTGCCCTAGGAGGCTCTGCTGGGGGAGGAGTCAGAAGGGAAGATGCGCTGAGGATAAACTGAACAGGAAGGAATTCTGGCCGAAATTCTATCAAAGCGGACTGCAAGATATTTTACCCAATACCAGGACACTATTCCAAAGTGACATGAACACCAAGCCCCTATCACAGAAGCCGATCCACCGTTCTTAGCCCCTTTTACCTCCCAAGCACAACCTGATGTTCGTGGCAAACCAGAAACTTACCGTTGGAAGCCCCAGGCTTTACGCCTTGCCGTGAATCTCCAAGGCTTCCCCCAACAAGCGCATCTGTGCAGGACCACGACCCTCTTTCCGAGACCACTGCTTAAGTCAGAAGCACAAAAGTGGGTGCAGTGAGAGATACAAGTTCATTCCACCAGCACTAGCATCAAACCCACCACCCAGCCCCAGTGCGCCCTGGCCCGCCTGTTGCAGGGGCCTCAGCGATAGTGGTC